TCTCAATAGTAGTTACTTCTGAGAAATACAAGGCAAAATAAGGGTTAAGAATCTCACTTTTACTTAGTATACTTGTATCACCATACTTTGTTTTTTATTGGGATTAATTGTTTTGGGGGGTTAATTGTTGATTTGTTACTTCTTGCATTTTTGCAACAACTGTGCAATTTTTTGTAAATTTTAAGTCATTAATTTTTCTGTAATAATTTTAATCTATATACTTGGAATAATCAGATTTTATTTTCACATGATTCTTGCTTGGCAGAATGTTTTTAATTCATTGGCGATGCCACACTGATTTCTCAAAAGTACATTTAAATTCTGGGTTGCAATAAACTAGGGAAAAAAACTGAGAAAACTGATTTAAAACATAGGATGGTTCTGTGGTAAGTCTGTTGACAATTTCAGTAATAATCAGAACTTTTGCTGACACATTTTATGTCTGTTTGTGCTGCAATGACAAACTACTTTGGACTATATAATTTATAAATAGTAGAAATGTGTTTCTGGAGGCTGGGAAATCCAAAATGAAGATACCCGCGAGTTTGATGTGTAATGCGACAGTTTCCTTTTTTAAGATGGCTCCTGTGAGATAAGCCCTGTATCCTCACATGGCAGAAGTGACAAAACTGTGCAAAATGTCTTTTATAAAGGATTTAATGACATTCACAAGGGAGGAGCCTTAACAGCCTAATCTTATCATCTGAAAGACCCCACCTCATAAAACCCCTATGGATTAAGTCAACATGAATTTTGTAGGCAATACATTCAAACCATACCATTCTGCCCCCAAAATTCATGTCCTTCTTACAAAATATTTCAGATACATATACGTATCATATCATTCCATCTCAAAAACCTTAACTCATGCCAACATCATCTTTAAAATCTGTTCATAGTCTCATCTAAATATCATATAAATCAAATATGAAAGAGACTCCTTCAGCAAGTTCCTCTCATCCGTGAGTGTGTGAAATCAAAGTTATGTGCTTCTAAAAAGGCAGAGATAGGAGATTCTTACCAAATGTAAATGCAGCAGCAAATAGTAAATTTTGAGGCTTAAAAATAATCTTTTTAGTCCATGTTCTGTCTTTTTTATACACGGGAGTGGGTCTTGGGCCCCTAAGGCCCTGTGACCCTGCTTCCACGGCTTTACTGACTGCAGCTCTTCTGGTTTAGAGGTACAGGCCTTTGGTTTTCCCAGGTTCAAGTTGCTTTACCAGTAGGTTCTGGTGGCTTTGCCAGTTGTAGTATCAGCGATAGCCCTGACCCCTTAACCCTACTAGACATTGCCCTTGTAGGAGCTATCTGAAGTGGCCTAAACCACAAGACTCTAGAGTGGTCCTGCTGTCAAGCTCTAGATATGACGTAGATTCTTTGCTTATCATTAAAAGAAAGGAACTAACATCTGCAAAGAATTTAATATATAACAACGTATTTTATATATGCCAACTCCTTTAGTTCTACAGGTAAATTTTATTTTCATTTTAAAGAGAAAATAGCTAACAGCTCAGGGAGGCAAATTAATTAGGATGAAAACAGAAATTAAATTAAAAGTTTGTCATAACTTACCACTTGGCATGCTTAGAAATCGGTGGCATTACTGTCACCTAATAGTAGATAATCAAGTTGATAACCTGGTACCATCAAATTGCAGATATGCTAGATAAATCTTGGCTTCTGGAAGTGTGTGAGGAGTATGTGAGGCTTATTAACTTAGTAGAAGTAGAACAAAAAACTGTGTAAGCTGGGGTATATAAGCTCATACTTTAAAAGAAAAAAACAAAATAAAACTTGAGGTTGATGCTTAGCTTACCAAAGTTTCAAAATGGACTTAAATAATATTGTCTCTAAATTAATTAGTTTCTATCTAAAGTGCTATGTATTGGAATAATTAATATTTATCTTCATGAACTGTGGAGCTCCTATTGAGAGCATTCACATCCAAGCAGTTCCTTCAATAAAGCTTTCATTCTCTTTGTTAATCTTGGAGCACTTTGAAAGGTTTTTTGATTGAGACTATTTTTAATTCATTCAACATTTATTAAATTTCTTAGTAAATCATTGGAGGAAAGCCATGGTATTTTCCAGAATATTGAAATTGGTTCTTGAGGATAAGAAAAAATGTTTAACTTACTTAGAGTATTATGAATGACTTAAGGCACTTGTATTTTTTTCCCTATGTTGGTAATAAGCACCTTGAAAAATATGAAGAATGAGAATGTCTAATGTCGGCAGCAATAGGAAAAAATTCAATTTATAGAACTGTATTTTGATACTTAGGGAACTGTGAAATCCCGAACAACTTTATGTCCAAAATTACATGAAATGTGGTGCCTTGGTTTTGAAAAGGAAAGATTAAAATATTGCCTTGATAAAGTAGCAGTTCTTAAGATAAACTTTTAGTTTTATTTATGATATTTTAGAGCATATATGGAAAACCATTTTTAATAAATTTAAGATGTTTTTCATTGGATCACTTTTATTTTAAAATTTGGTTTTGAACCCTAAAAGGAATATAAAGTACCTGTGAAACAAGTACCTAAGGACCTGTTTACCTCTTTAGTTGCTGATAGACCACTTGTTTTGCTAGTCTTTGGAATTAAAAGGAGTGTCAAATACACAGAAGCCAGAGTCATCTTGGCCAGATGGTGTTGGATACAGATGGATGGTTAGTTGTCATGCAGATCTCCTAGTTGGTAACTTGTTGCTGCCATCTGACTCAAAGAATCATTCACACACACTGGCTGTCAAAAGCATCTTCTCTTCTGTCTGTTTTAGCTGTCATGTCTGTGCTCTGTACAGAAGTGTTGACAAGACATTGCTGTTGTACATTTTCAATGTGGTTGTTAGTGATTTTTCTGTTTGGTGGGGTCTTTGATAGTACTGGAATGTACTTGCTTTGTAATTGTATTTTTTTTAATACTATGACCAAGCAACAATTATCTGACATTTTAAAGTATTTTTCTGATCATGTGTTTATTTAGATTTGCTCGGTGAACAAAATCATCTCAAAAAATTGCTTTACTTAATTTTTAACCATAGCAAATAAACTAAATTCTACTGGTAATTTCCCAATTTGATGTATACCCTCTTCTGAACTTTTATAGCCCATAATCAAAAGCATTATACATTTTTCTGAATATGTTTTCTTCTCAAATTACTATCTTTTTCTCTACTAGTATATGCCCCCTCCCTCCAAAATAACATTCAAACTTTATCTTTTACATCCATTTTTTTAGACTCAGTGTCTTTTTCCTTACCTACTGACCTCTTTTCTATTTATCCTGTTTTCCATGTAGAAATAAAAGCAAAGCCATCTTCCCTCTCTCCTTCATGTGTATTGTCAAGGAATATCTGTTTCTCTGTTTCATGAACAACTTAATTAATTTATTTATTCAACTAATTATTGATCATCTTAATATATGTCAGGTATTGTCTGGTACCTTGGAGAAATCAGGAAGAGATGGTCTCTTCCCCTGAGAAGTTTAAGTCTGGAGGTAAATCAGACATATAGACAGACTAGATTACTCTTAACTGCTATAATATAAGGTACAATATATGAAAAAGTATGGTATGAGAATATGAGCTATTGCTATTCTCTTTCCCCTGCTATACTCTCAGAGTATCCATTTTTTTAATTATTACAGAATTTGAGCTTTATAATGTTATCTGGTAGTTTTAAAAATAGTTCAAGACTTCAGCTTGAAATAGCCTTTGATCTACTAGTTTTCCCAGCTATTAAAATATATATTCAGCATTACTCACTTATTGTGATATGTTATACGCAGATTTGCTAATATATGTTTTTAAACCAGAGACTGGAAGTTAAAAATTAATTGGCAGAAGCTTTGTAAGCTGATTCCAAAAGAAAGTGTATTGTCATTCAATTTTGTTGTTAGTGTGGAAAAATCCATAGTAGATGAAGAATGGGCTGAGACTTAATAATTTAATAACTTAATAATTTATTCTGGACCTATCTCTAACCTGGTAAGTTTTTTATGCTGGTTACTTAATCTCTGAACAGTAGACTGTATATGCTTACCAAAATATATGTTTATGAAGAACAGCCAGCCTGGGGTACACACTGAGTTCAAGGTCAGCCTGAACTGCATAGTGAGACCCTATCTCAAAAAAAGAAAAAAAAAGAAAGAGGTGGGGGAAAGAAAGAAAGAATTTGCTGTAGATGTTTGGATCCTTCTTTCAGTTAACTTATTCATTCTTTATAGCAGCTTTGGTGTGAACTGACGTAACACAAAGGTGTCAAATCCTAGGAAGCTTTATTTTAGTAGATTTGAGTATCTCAGGATCAGCTCTGAGACTCATAAGCATTGAAATGTGGTCCAAATAGATACAAGTTTCATTCTTCTGTTCACAATAATAAATTTACTTGGATTATTTATTTCCTGTATGTTTCATTTCAGTAAGCATGTATTTGATATGCTTTGCAAAGTTCTGTGGAGAATGTAAGGATATGTAGGACTTCCCTTAGGCATCATGCAAAGGCAACACACCACTGGGTGTTTTTATCAGTTCTGTCAGTTATTCATTTTTGAAGTGTCTTAATTATAAACTTCACCTTATATATATATAAAATAGGTATATGTGGCTTATTTGAATGACATGAATTTTTAATTTTTAAAGTTAGGATATATTTTTAAAGAATTACTTTTAAACATCTGTTTTGTCTCATGCTTTTTTAAGGATTAAACTCTACATTATAATTTTTATCCTAACTGAAAAACTGAGGCATACTGTCAAATGATCTTACATGAAATTTTTTTAAGATGATTTCTTTTTAATTTTACAGTGCACTAAGTGTTTTAAGTCACAAATGTTGCTAACAGTTACACATACATACCTGAAGACAGTTTGTACCTAATAAATAAATTCTCCAAAATCTAGGAAATGACAATATGGGCAACTTCTATTTATTAATGGACAATAAATGTGTGTTCATCTCTGTCAACAAACACGAGGCTAACTGGTTTTCATGTCAGCAGACTGAGAACTATGAGCAGAGAATACGTGAGCAACAGGAACAGCTGTCACTTCAACAAACTATTATTGACAAGCTAAAATCACAGTTACTTCTTATGAATTCCAGTCGAGGTATGTTCATGTTAATTTTTTATGTATTTCTTGAACCTCTTAAAGACAAGAAAGGTGAAAGTTGAGATTTACTGTTTTATTTTTTTCATTGTTTCTCAATAATTAAGATATAATAAGTTATAATACAACTATACATTATGTTTATTTAAATGAACACTTGCATGATATGAATGGACTATCATATGTACTGTTATGACAGAACTCTAGGTTGATTAAACTTTCTTGAAGGTACTTTGCCTATGTCTATACCTTTTGAATAAAAAATTGAAGTCCTAAGACTAGAGCATAAGAAAATTTGTCCAAGTACCCAAAGATACAAATGCAGGTATGCATCACAGTGTAATTTCTAATAATGAAAAATTAAAAGAAATTTCTCATTTTCCAGATAACTAAACATGGGGAGGTTCCTGGAGGGTGGTTCCTCCAGAAACAGCATGGAAGTGGAAGGTCTTTGCCCCTCCCCACACACCTTGCCCTGTGCATCTCTCCCTTCGTAATGTCCCTTAAAGTAAATCAATAAACAAAAAAGGAAGAAATGTCCAACAGTTTAGTTACAGTGAATCATGTGAATAACTACATAGCCAAGAAAATTGATAATAGTTTTTAACTTACTAGCAAAAATTTGTTCATGATATATAGCAAAGTAAACAAGGAATATAAAAATAAATGTTTTTATGCAGATTTTTATTTGAATTTATATATATAGGGAAAAAACTGTGGTGAAATATAAACCAAAATGTTTAAAATTTTATTTTTTATTCTATATTTAATTTTTGCATATTCTAATCTTCCTGCAATAAACATAAAAGTTATGTAAAAAGTATCTTAAGGAATACCAGAAAGTATGACTTGCAAAAAAGTTTAATGGTTTGTAAAATAAAATGCAAACAGCCTATTTCTCATTCTCTGAATTCTGTTTTACAACTACCCATGGAGAATATGGGGTTTTATATATTTCCTTTTTTTTTTTTTAATTAAGTTTATCAGTACTTCTTAGGTATACAGTACAGTTACTTTCATCAGCAGGATCTTGTACCTTTACAAGATGTATCTTGGTTCTTATTTTGTCCTCATACCCCTGCCCTCCATTCAACCCCTCCACACTTCCCTGTTTACAAAGACTTTGTTTCCATTTTTTCCTTTTCTCATATATTTTCTTTTCCCTTCTTTCCTTTCCCCTACACTTCTCACTTCCTCTATTCCTTTATCCCTTTTCTTCCTATTTTACATTATCAATTATACAATTTGAACCTTCTTTACACTTTTAGTTTCTCACACCACAAAAACTATTTGGTTTTATAAATAAATAGGACATAAATTTATAAATAAATAGGACATATTTATAAGAGTATGGCCTCAATGTGCATTTATATACCTATAAATGACTAGTTTCTCATTCTTTGTGGCTGAATACTACTCCATTTTATTAAACACAAACACACACACACACACACACACACAGACACCTTTATCCAGTCTCCAGTTGATGGACAGTTGGGCTGTTTCCAAGTTTTATCTATTTCAAACTGTACTGCTATAAATATGTGTGTGTGTGTATGTATAATATGTTATGATTCTTTTAATTCTTTTGGAAAGATACCCAGCAGGGGAATAGCTGGGTCAAATGGGACTTCTATTCTTAGTTTTTTGAGGTATCTCCATATTGATATCCACAGTGGTTGCACCAGTCTGCACTCCCACCAACAATGGAGAAGGGTTCCTATCTCCCCACAGCCCTGCCAGTATTTGTTATTGGTTGATTTCTTGATAGTAGCCATTTTTACTGGGTAAAGTGGAATCTCAGTGTGATTTTCATCTGCATCTGTCTAATGACCGGTGATTTTGAACATTTTTTCATATATTTATTTGCTGCATTTACTTGTTTGTCTGAGAAGTAAGTGTCTGTTCATTTCAGATGCCCATTTTTGAATCCAGTCTTTATATTTAGGGGGTTGTATATTTCATAGGAAGAAAAAAATCTAAATGAACCATTTTTCAAGGTAACTTATCTAAATATTTCTAAGCACATAACTTAAAATCTGTTCTTTTAAAATTATATTTTTTGGTTTTTTTATTATTTTATTTTTTCAAGTGAGGCCAAAAAATAAGAGTTTTCTACTAATGTCCAAGAGGCTTTTGTCTTATAGATAACAGTTATGGCTATGGTCCTCTGCTTGACGATGGTGAAACAAGGAAAAGTAATATGACTCTTGATCAGCCACATGATAAAGTGAAATCAGGAATACCAAAAGAAAAACAATCAAAGGTACACTGTACTGTCATGTTTGTTTCTAAAGAAAATAAGAAATGAAAAATTAGATTTCATGGGCTTCCTGAACTATTTTGTCAGTATACCCTAACAATTTTGGTGGACAGAGCATGAGTAGAAACTGGACAAACTTCTTTTCAAACCTAGTGTTGGTTCTACAAAAAAAGAGCATTTAAATGCTGATACACAAAACATCTTTCTTATTTTATATTCCTGACGTGATAACACCACTGGAATTCTAAACTAAGAGGTTCTGCATATGCAAACATATGACTTACAGCTTCTTAAATAGAACTGTCTCCAAGGGAAAAAAGCTTTGGTTTCATATTTCTATTACTCTTTTTTTTTTCCTATATCAGAAGCATTTAACAAAGAAGTAAAAGGCTTAATTTAAAATTTAAACTAAGGTAGATAGTAAGAAACAAATGATCCTCAAGAACCACTTTCTATTTTTGTCTTTAATTTCCCATGTTTAGTTGAAAAGAAATTCCACCTACTTAAGGAAGAGTCTTCATGAATATAAGCAGTATAAAAAGAACATCTGCAGGAGGCATATACAAGGATGTTTATGCTACATTGGTTAGAAATAATCTAAGCATCCATCAAGAGCAGAATAGTACATCTTTAGAGGCAATTTAGAAAAATTAAAAAACTGTTTTGTTATTGTTGTTTTGAACAGGGTCTTGCTATGTAGTTAAGGTGGGTCTTGAACTCACTATGCAGCCCAAACTAGGCTCAAACTTGTGCGATCTTCCTGCCTCAGTCTCCCAAGTACTGGGATTACAGGTGTGCACCACCACACTCAGCATAAAATAAACTATTCATATAGTAACATTCCTAGATTTCAAAAGCATTGTTGAATGAAAAATGGATATTACAAAATGATAAAATGGGCACAAATTATGTGATATTTAAAAACAATACATAGTTGTGTTCATGTTTATGGAAACAAATAGTAATAAATGTATATAAATATGGACCGAAAGGGTACATATTTTCTTTAGAAAAAATAGTTACTCCTAGAGTTGGGGGGAAAGGAGATTTTATAGTGTCTAGGAAGGAATAATTGCAACTTTTTCTTTTATAAAAAAAGAAAGCAAATATGGCAACCAGGTAATGTTTGTTAAATCTGAGAAGGAAGTGCATAGACTTTTTTTTTTAAGGGGATTCTGGGGATTGATGGCAGGCTATATCCTCAAGTCGTTATCTTTTATTTTGAGACAAGGTCTCACTAGGTTGCCGAGGCTGGGTGCAAACTCATGATCCCCCTCTCAGCCTCCCACAGTGCTAGGATTTCAGGCACGTGCCACCATGCCCAGCATAGACATGTATTATATTATACTTGTTTTCCTGGGTCATTGAAATTTTATACATTTGAAGGGGATATTTTTAAATAAAATGAGTTGAGTTATATACAAATAAGGACTCAATATCAATAAGACCAAAGAGGTCAACAGTGTGATTTTTTTATAGCTTTCATTCTAAATAAAGCAGATTTTAGTTTTATTTGTAAGGGCCACTCAGTTACAGATCCCACAACTAAGACTATCTTGTTACTAAACATCAAATATGAGAAATCCAATTTTGAAGCATTTTTCAGTAAATAAAATTTCAAAATGAGTTTTCTACATTATCTCCAGGTCAAATATATTTTTTTGTTGTTCAAAGCTATTAGAGGCTGGGAGTTTAGCTTATTGGTAGAGCACACGAGTGTCTGGGTTTGAGCCCCAGTACCAAAAAAAAAATTTAAACTATTATTTATTGGAATTGTTCCATTTTTTTCCACTCACCCCATTCCAGTTTCCACTTGTGTAAAAAATGCTGGTAAGCAATCACAAGAAACCATGGAAATGGAATATATTTATTTTGCTTAAAAGGAAAATTCAGGAACAGTGATTCTGACTTTTGGGATACAGTTGTTGTTAAGCCTATTATAGTACATTATGAAATTACTGAATTACTATAAACATTGACTTGTAAGTTTAACACTTAAGTAAATAATACGTACAATTTTCATGTTTCATACACTTCTAAATGCCATTAGTTATCAGTAATTTTTAGTAGTCAAAATTCTTATATTTATTCCATTTGTAACATTTCTTTAAGCATAATACACTATCTCCAGTTCAAATATATAAAAGATATTTGTTAAAATAACTTTAGAACAAAAGGAGTGTTGTGAAAAGATGTAAAGTATATTAATAATGTAGTTTCTTTTAAATTCCTATGCTTCATTGTTTTTTGTTTTGTTTTGTTTTGGTACCAGGGATTGAATTTGGGACCTTGTTCTTGTTAGGCAGTTGGCGGAACCACTGAGCTAAATCCCCAGCCCAGATACTTCATTTTTGAACATGGAAGTTTTAAAGTTTATTTTTCAGTCACTATTCAGTGGGAGTAATTTAATAGAAATCCTTTCTAAAATGTGTTTGTTTTAATTTTTAAGATATTTTATCTGTAAGACTTATGTCTATACTGAGCTAAAATTAAGTTTAGGTGGTAGAAATTGTGTCCGATATAGCTTATTTCCAAAAAACTGTATAATGTTGCATCAGTTGTAACTATATTTGTGTACAAAGAGAGAAAAAGCCCCAAGTAAGGAATAAACCTAAATTCAGTGAGTTACCTGAACCATCTTTGTTAATATAAGGAAGGTTTATGTAATAGCCTCTTTTTTGTTGGTGATGAAGGTTTTTGTTTTGTTTTTTTGTTTTCTTGAGAAGGTCTCGCTGTGTAGTACAGGCTGTATTGTTCTCTCTGTGTTACCCAGCCTGGCCTGGAACTTTTGATCTTCCTGCCTCAGTGCCCTGAGTTTAGGTTACAGGTATATGCCACCATGCTTTGCTGACAGCCACATTTTGATTTTCTGAATGGCTCAACTCACTCTTCTCATACTATAACTATTTGATAAAAATTAAGCTGTCTTATATTTCCACTTTATCTTCTTCCTTTGTGTGTCTCTAGCCAAAGTGCTAACGAACACTAAATATATAAAGAGAAGATATATTATATATATATATATTTTTTTAATATTACTGGGAATTGAATCCAGGGCCTTCACACTGAACTACATCCCACCCCTTTTTTTATTTTTTAAATTTTGAAACGGGGTTTCACTAAGTCACTGAGTTGCCCAGGTTGGACTCAAACTTGTGATCCTCTTGCCTCAGACTACCAGAATGCTGGTATTACATGTGTGCACCACCACACATGACTAGGAAATATATTCTCAAAGAAAGAATAAATGAGATTTATTGCAGAAGAAATATGTTCTAAAAGAAAAGATAAATTAAATATATTGGATACTTGAGAGCTGGCTGTATATTCCATATAAACAGTTATGCCTAATTTAGAAAAAGTACTGGCCAGTCACGCAATTAAAATAGGCATTGTTTCTGCTGGCATATATGTTTATTTATCTGTACCTAATGGGTTATAGTTAAATTTGCTTCTAGATAATACAAGTGAAATCCTTTCCCAAAAAACTTTAATATTTTATTATATTATATTCTTTCTAAAATGAGAAAATCCATGTTGGGTATTTACTATTTTGTAAAAAAATGTACATCCACATAGATGAGAATTAGAAGACAGAGAGAAATGATAAAGGTAATGGAACAACTTTTTCTATTTTCAGTATACTTTAATATTATTCATCTTTAGAAAAACTAATATTTCTAGGAATTTATTTCCAATCAGTTGGCCTCACTTCTGTAATGAGTTAGGAAGTTAATAGAAAGGCTTTGAACCAGTAACATAAGGAAGCTCCTGCTAACCACCCACAGTCCTTTCTTCCTTCTGCTTGGTGGGTGGTTTGACGATTTGTTTTCTTTAGCCTGTTTGTTTTGTTTTGCATTTTGTTTTGTTAGACTACGTGAGAGAGGAAAAACTCATGGACATTTTGGCAAATGGCAACTGTGGCTGCTTTGGGGATAAAAGATACAGAGTGAGGAAGAGGGATAAATAAAGGGAAAATTAAGTCCTTTTTCAAACTCCACTTAAAAAAAATGACATTTACAGTCATTTATAGTTTAGCTTCTGTTTCGTTATTCTACTCAAAAAGCATTCGATTTTAAAGGAAATTAAAGAGGACAAGACAATGCAACTATATTATTAGATGAACCATAGTAGTACTCTTATTTACAGTTGAATCCTGTATTCAGTCCCTAGCATCAAAAAAAAAGTAAATTCAATTTCATAAATCCTATCATTAATGTCAAAGGAAAGAAATATAGCTTATCAAAAATTTTTCAAAAATTCTTCATGTGATAGATTTTCCAGAGGGAAATAATAGATGAGCAATGCTTAAAGAACCAAGGAACTGTTGGGTGGGGGGTGTTTGTTTTTTCTTTGTATTTGGTTTTGGCTTGATTTGGTTTGGCTTAGTTTGGATTGGTTTTGTGATACTAAGGATCCAACCCAGGAGCATTCTATATCCCCTGTCATCTGTAATTTCTTATTTTGAGTCAGGGTCTCACTAGGTTGCCCAGGCTGCCCTTGAACTTGCAGTCCTCCTGCCTCAGCCTCCTAAGTAGCTGGGATTACAGGTGTGTGCCACCAATCCCAGCATTACTGATTCTTTTTTTTTTATAATCAGTTTTTAAAATAGAAAGTATTTACAGATAAATCAAATTACACAAAACTCACACACTTACCTTGACAAGCACTATTTATCTTTTGTTTGCAGGACCCTTGTCAGAAACAGTACCCCATGTCCATGATAGCTGTTATTTTAATAACAAATTTTCTACTTTAAACATAGTTTTAATTATCATAATTCATTTTTCAAAACAAGAATTACACTGAATATTTTTTACAATCTTTGGAAATGAGATTTTTAAATGTTTCTGGGAGATAGTTTATTTGCTAAACTAAATTTTATATTGGCTATCTAAGGCTTCACAGAAATTCTTTGTCCTTATCTTTCTATCCCACTTTCTGTTTTTATAGAGGGTTATACAAAAATGTAGTGTTTTAAGGCAAACAAAATGTATAGAACA